TAACAATATCATTTGTTTTGGAGTATTTTTTGTTTTTGTTTTAGTCGAATTCCTTCTTTTTGGAATTTAATTCGAGGTTTACAAAATATTGATGCATGTATTTTAACACATTTTGATTATGATGTATTTCCTGGTTTACAAACAATTCTACATCGAAAAACAATATCATCACCACATGATAATCCATTATGTAAACCAGATATTGGTGCTATTTTTCTTAATCATACTCAACGAACAAAAATACAATCAGTAGAACATTCATCAAAATCATCATCAAACAGCAAATTATTAATTAATTTAAATGAAAATATTAATGAATTTTTAAATGATATTAAACAATTAAATATCAATACAATTGATTTGGTTAAAAATTCAATGTCTCATAAAACAAATATTGAACCAATTAATCTTTATAAAAAAATTGCATTTGGTTCACTTGATCTTTATATATTACATCCAACTACATCAATATCTGATGATGAAAAAATGCTTACAACTTTACAAAAAGTAAATAAAAAAAAATCAATCAAAATGATTTATGAGTTTTTTTTTTTAGATTCCAATTCGTGATCAACAACCATCATCTTCAATAATTCCATTTCATCATTGGTATTCATCATGTTTATTACTTGTTTGGACACCAAGTTCCATATCAAGCAAGGATAGTTTAGTACGAATTTTATATACAGGTGCTTGTCCACAAACACTTGTCTTTGAAGCATTGAATAAAGTTCGACATCTTGAATTTTTACATGAACCACAACAACAACAACAGCAAAAAACTCACATAAGCAACATTAACACAACAATGTCGACAAATACGAATATAGGTGTTAAACAATCAACAGACAAACCTAAGATTTCTTCTTCAGTAACAGATCGAGTGACATCATCAACAGTTCAAAGTAAAACACCAAAAGTTTTACCACGCTCTATTCCTTCTAAGCCGAAAGTTTCACAAAGTAAAATAATAAAATCTGAAAAACCCCAATCAACACCAGTTACAAGAAAGGTAATCAATCTTGTAAATAACGATTCTCTCAGTATTTTATCAATATTTCTGTCAATATCCATTACTTAGACTCGAAGTTTTTACTAAAAGATTTTTCGTTCAATTCTCTACCAATGCATATAAAATATTTCTGTATAAAAACTAATAGTCAAACTTTCCTAGCTGAAGACTTTACGATATACGCACATTGCATATTTCGTAACATTATTTTATCATTTTCCACCGCCTTGACGAAGATATTGATAAAATACTGAGAGGCCCATTTATTCTGGAACACCCATTATTTTATTGATAAATACTATTGTCTTCTATAAATAGACACCTCCTCTGACCACTAATAGTGCTGCTCGATCAAATGATAAAGACAAAAAGACACAAAAATCTCGTGGAACTACCTCTAAAAGCTCTACTAAACCTGATCAAACGAAAAATCATGTACAAAAGGTAAAACCTCAAGATAATCAACAGCAAAAATTAGATGTTCAAAATAAAGACGAACAAAAATCAGATGTTCAAAATGAAGATCAAGAAAAATCAGATGTTCAAAATGAAGATCAAGAAAAATTAGATGTTCAAAATGAAGATCAAGAGAAATCAGACGTTCAAAATAAAGATCAAGAAAAATTAGATGTTCAAAATGAAGATCAAGAGAAATCAGACGTTCAAAATAAAGATCAAGAAAAATTAGCTGTTCAAAATGAACATGAACAAAAATTAGAAACACAAAATGATGAAACTGATCGATCGAATGAAATACAAGGCGATCTTTCTTTTCAAAATGACAATGAAGAACAAATACAAGAAAAGAATGAACATGAAATATCCTCTGTTGAATTGAATGAAAAGAATGAAACATCAATCGATAATCATGAAGATGAAATCCAACAACCAGCATCAGTTTCATTAACAACTGATCATAATGAACGATTTGTTGAAAATCATACTGACTTACCAATAGATGAAATCCAACCTAAACTAGATCCAGATGATTCAATGACAACAAGTGTTATTGATGAAACTTCTAACACAAAAAATTCATTTATTATTGAAAAAATTAATGATAATAATAATAATAATAATAGCGATGATGAAATGGAAATCATTCATCATGATATATCATCAACAAATCAACATTCAATACCATCTAATGATGAAATTAATCCACAAGGTTTACCAATCGAAAACGATGTTCATTCAATAAAACCAACAATTAAAAAACTAAGCAATACATCGAATCGGTAAAATTTTTCAATGAAAAAAGAAAAACACTTTTTTTGTTCACTTAAACATTCCATTTTAGAACAAATGAACCATCGAAATCAACAAATAATACTAATCAAACATCATCATCACAAAAATCCAAACAAACATCATTATCAAATCCAATATTCAATGTTGATGTTGCCTATATACCATTTCATGGTAATGAACATTATGTTGATAAAGAATTTTTTCGTCGTGTACGTGCTCGTTATTATATTTTAAATGCTGTACAAATAAATCATCTTACACTTGAATCATTAATTGATGGAAAACAACAATGGGAAAATAAAGAACATGCACCAGTAAATATATTATTATTGTTTTAGAAAATATAATTCATTAATATTTCATTAAGGTTACTCTTGTACCAACATTTGATGGTGAACAATTACGACAATTTTTTGTTATGAATAGAAATCGTTTAGCAGAACTTAATATAAATATTCTTCCAGCATCAATTCGTTGTAATGTGCAATATGATAATGAAGGTTCACCATCACAACTTTTACGTTTCAGTTCAAGATATAATACAGATGAATAATAAACATTTTAACTTTTGTCATTGTGCTCTCATCTCTTCACGTAGTGCCGTGTGCGTGTAAAACATATCAATCAGTGTGAAGACGTGACTAGAGTAAAAATGAATCCTTTGTTTTCTTCCTCTTTTAAACCAATATTTCTGTGGAATTTGTGTTTTTTTTTTCGTTTTGTCTATTTGCTATTGATTTAAAGAATTGTTTACAGAAAACAACCAGTTCGACTTTTTATGCATTAGGTGCACATTTTTTTTTTAGTTTATTGGCATATTTGATTTTTTTTCTCTCTTCTTATCATGCATAACATTTATAAATAATAAATGTTTGAATTTTTTTCGTCGGAAAAAAAATGTAAGCATGTCTATCGATTATGTAATGATACAGAATAGGATCTTAGAGGAAGGATTTGTTTGTTGATCTTTCTTCTTGTTGTCCGTATCAAAGATAGAATGAATGGGTTCAGGTTTTTCATAATTTTAAACTGGAACCGAAATTGGTTTGAGACACTGAGAATCGAACTAAAATCGAGATCGATTTGAAAAGCTGAGAATCAAATCGATCCCATCTTTGGTGTATACATTTATTCAAGCTTGTGATTTCTTTGTTTTCTATACTTTTTGTCGCGTTCATTTCAGATTGATTGTTACTAATCGTTTTCTTATTAGTTACAATAATTCTTTCATTGTTATTATTATTCACTCGTCATTACACATCTTCATCACTCATACTTATCTCATTAATTCGTTCTTCATTTTACACATATTTACTTCATTATTAAATTTCTTGAGTCTTACCTTCAGTTAACAACCTCATCTATTTACATTATTTTCGTTGTATCTTTCTTTTCTTGTAGATTGCCATCACTTAAGCTGTTTCTCTCTCAGAAAAAAAAATCAATTTTTGTCACAAAACATACACGACATGATTTTTTTAAAACTTTGCACCTCCTTTTTTGCCCAAATAGTTTGATAGTTTCTGTCAGTATCTTCTTGAAAAATATGCTGTTTTCAGAAAAAACTGGAAATGTTTATCATTTTTTCTCTGTTTATTCTTATTCTTATCATTCGAAGTAATCAAGAGAGATAGATAGTTTAGTATAATTTGTTTTTGAAGTCCAAGTCGCATTTCCGAGATCACCGTTGGTAGACGAGGATACGAACTCAATAACGGCTTATTTGAACCAATAGAAGCTTTTCATCGAGAATCTTTCTTTGCACTCTCTCTCTCGTTGGCAAGACAAGAGACAATTCTAAGGAAAAACCTTAACAATGGTAACAAATAGCGTCATCGATATATGCAGAACGCTTTTTGGGCGAAAATCTTATGTGCAGTTCGAAAGAGAATATTTTTTACATTCACTACTGTTCAAATAACCTCGGGTCACTGCGAAATTGCAGATGACATATACAAGTACATATCTTGACATTGTTTCGCTATCTGTTCTGACCGTCTACTAAACGCAAAGTTTTTAGTACAAAGGGTTAGTCTCTTGTAATAGACAAACTGATCATATAAACTTCAAGCTTCTATCCTCCATATGACAGAGAAGAATATGAATATAGTATTTAAAATATTGATTCATTCAGACAATCATTATAGAATTGTTTTTATCTTATACAAAGACCTACTCTTAACCAAAATATAAAATTAAACTATGTTCAACAATTGAATATATTTTCTCTTATATAATTTTGCAAAATGAATAAATTAATTTGTGATAAATATAACAACTTTCTCTATTTCTTAGTGAATTCCAAGTTGTAAAATACAATATGTTTCTAATAGATTCTTAGTTTTAATGTCCAATTAGATACAACAATTACATATTCGATTAAAAATCATATATAACCATGAAATAGAACATTCACCTACAAAGACATTCGAAGAAATGTATCATCAAATAAACACAGTGACTATTCAAACTATTCTTTTTTTGAGAACTTAAAGAATAGTCTTTCTTATTCAACACAATACAATATTTGACGAATTTTCTACATACAAAAAGAAAAGCGAATTCTCTAAAAAGTTATTATTATCATATGAAACTTCTTTAATTCTAGGCAAGCGCTATAGATTATTTGAAATCGAAGTCAGCATGTCTTATATATTTATTGAGTTCTGATGGAAATTTTCAATTTGAAGAAGCTGTACATAAACATTTGTCTCATTATTCTATTCATACGATTGATATGAGATATTTTCAATGTTCAAATGATGTTTGTACATTTCATCAAGTAAAATTAGGTAATGGTCAAAATAAAACAAAAACATTATGTCAATTAATCGATGAAATTAATCAAACAAATTTTGGAATAGATATACTTAAAATTGATATTGAATATGGTGAATATGTATAACCTGTTTATATTCAACAAATTCTTGTTGTAAGAAAAAAAAAAGAAAAGTATAAACTTCTCAATTTCATATTGTTTTATTTTTCAAGAAGTTCAATTTGATCGTGATCGAACAATTGAAATAAATGCTTTATTTTATTTATTTAATTCTCAAAATTATATTATTTATCATCGAGAACTTAATCCAAATTTTCCATATTATGCTTCTGAATATGTTTTTCTTAAATTAAATAGAACATTTTTAGTCATTAATTTAAATGTATACTTTCGTTTTCGAATCATATTACATAATATAACTCGTGCTCAGGCTCTATGACAAGACAGAGGAAAAAACGGAATTTTTCTTTCCAAAAATGTCGAACTTTCTGTAAACATTTTTAACAATTTTTGTACTCTCATGAAAAATATTGACAGAAAGCAGGTTTTAGAACTTTTATCTTTGTCTCTAACAGAAAGTAGTATCAAGACATTTTCTGCCAAAAAAATCTCATAGATAGTTTATAATTTTATCATATCTTGTTTTATATCTGCTAGAAAATTGAATGAAAGGACTTTTCGAAAAAACATTTAGACTATCCACCGAATTTTCAGTGTTTCCTCCCTCCTACGGCATAAAACAATTGAGAATGCTGCTAAGATTTTAAAGCTTCATCGAAATAGAATCAATTTTACATCAAACAAGAAATGCTCTTGTTATAAACAAAATACATAAATATTAAAACGAACATAGGTTATTTAATAATAATTATGATTAAAACAAAAAACAAGCACTTCAATAATGATTAGGATATATTAAATAAGAAAGTCATACTTAGTCACAATAGATGACGAAAAGTCCAGCGTGTTCTATTCATTAGATAAGGAACATTAGCATGATAAATACTTAAAAAGTTTTTTGAGCATATTTATTCTTTCTCATATTTAAAAAGAAAGACAATAAGAACCGGTGATCTTCGACGTAGATTTTGAGGAGTAGAAGATTAATGATTAATTCTTTGTAAAGAATTATTTTCGGTAAAAATGAATTCAAAATAAACTTTTATCTTCATAAACACTATTTTCATTGACAATCTGGATTCATCCATAGCTTTATAAAGGTGTTCACTAATTTGATTTTGTTCATTGAAAATTTTCATATTTAACACCATCATTTCTATGGTATTTTTGTTTTTCAACAATCGAATAATTTCATAATCCCTATATTTTTCTATCATGTTAAAGAATTTTGTTGTTGTTTTCTTATTCAATAGATGACTATAATAAACATAGATGCCAAGTATAATGAGATTCATGTTATATACTTTTTTGTTTATTTATATTTTTATTTATATGCATCATGATTGCATTGGAAGAAAAAAAACCTACCATTCACTAAGCGGTTTTTTTTATTTTTGCAACAAAACAATGCAAAGCAAAAGGAAAAGAATGATAATAATAATCATAGTTATAGAAACAAAGAAAAGAAAAGAAAATGAACGACAATCATCCATAATGGTCAACTAGCTAACTTTTGAAAATGTCGTATTTATATATATATTTAAATCCATTATGAGAGATGCATAAGAGTCCGCATGATAGATGGTACTTGACATATATCTATTTTTTCATTAATATCTTGTTGAATATCACGAAAAAGTCCTTGAATTAATAAACATTTACTGATTAATGTCGTAAAAGTTCGAACATTTTCAGTTGATCCATAATGTTGTTCTAAAAATATCCATAATTGTTCAACATAAATATTTTGTGCATGAAATACTTGTTGATAATTATTTAATGATGGTTCTTGAAAATTTATCAAATTTGAAAGACCTTTTGAAAAAAGTAATATAACAAGTGTTAATTGAATAATTCGTCGATCTATTTCAACAATTGAATGTAATGAACGCATTATTAAAGTACAACGTAAATAAATATCATTTCCGTGTACTTCACGAATATCACTACCGTATAGAACAGTATCATTTGTAAGAATACCTTCATGATAAATATCATTAATTGGATCATATCTAAGAATATATATATATAAATAAAAAGATTTGAATTATTTTTATGTATGTATGTCTCTTACCCAAGAGAACCATGAAAAAAGAAAATATAAGGTAAATTATTTTTTACAAGATTTACTTTATCAAGATCATTTAAAGCATCAAATTCTGCTAATCGTTTATAAAAACTAATAAGACGTAATGCTGTAGTATTTTTTGTATTAAGTATCTGAAATAAAGCAGTAATTTTTTTTGCTAATGGATATGACCAACCATAACTTGTTGGATCTAATTGAAATCCATCATTAAATGCTGTAACAACATTATCAATAAAATCAATATTTCGCCTAAATAATTTTGATCTTGATGAATATATATTAGTTTTATTAAGTACAACATTATGTAAATCTAAATCATATTTTTCAGTTGAATTTATTGTTTCTTTAAAATTATCTTTGGATAATGATAATTCATTTGTATGAACTAAACGAAGTCGTCTATTTTCTTCAATACGACGTTTTTTATTAAGCTTTTCTTCTTCAGTTAATATCCATTCTTTACGCATACCTATTTAACATATATATTTATTAATAAATATATATATACAAAGAAGAACATCGTACCAACGGAAAAGCATTTTTTTAATCGACATGATTTACAACGACGTCGTGTTTCTAATGTTATTTCACAGGCACCATCACGACGACACTTTAATCGCTCCTTAATAATAAAAATATTTGAATTCATCTTTTCATTTTCTTTTATTTGTCCTATTTACCGCATTAAGAAGAGCATTTCGTCGAAAAAATGCTTTACAAGATTCACATGAAATTGCATCAAAATTATATCCATGTGCTGAACCACGACAAACTATATTTAAAAATAAAATTAATTTATAATAAAACAAAACAACAAAAAAAAAAAGAAATAGTTATCTATTATTGAGAAGAAACATGATTTCTTTTTTTTTTGATATTGAAGATTATTTTAATGTTATCCTTTTGTTTAACAAGGTGTATTAATTGACATGCCATAAATATAAACGGAAAGAATTTTTTTTTTCCATTCTCCTTTAAGGACATTTCTCATTACGAATATTATTGTTATGATTATTTTTATATATTTAAATAATTATCTACATTATTTAGAATAATAAGAGATGAAATTTGTTTTTTTTTTTCATTATTGAAATAAATATGAATTAAAAGATAAAAATAATAATGATTAAATCAAACATAGAAAACATGTTTTCGTTTTAAGATATAATATAAGACTATTAATAGCAATAATAATTTGATTGACATAATCATATGTGTGAATAATAAAAGATAAGCTTTTTTTTTCTGTTTGATCTCAAAAACTGAAAATATTGAAAAGATATGAAAATAATTTACCGACGCAAGAAAGATCAGATTTTTTTCGTGGTTGACTATTTGCATTTCTTGTTGCAAAAGGCATTGAAGAATCTGTCGACGTATTGGATGCGTACATCTCTTGTGAAGCACGAAGTCGTCGTTTTCGATTGTGACACACTCCTGATGACGACTATTCTCGTATAAACAAAAAAAATCGATTAGATTATACATTAATCTCTATTTATTACAAGAAATTTGTACTTATATTTCTCATAGAAATATTCTACTTCAAAGCAAAAACTACGTATCAAAGAAAAAATCATAGACTCTAGGAAAAATCTTGCTCAATATTTACTCTGAATTCGAACAGTCAAATAAAAGTTTCTTTTTATATATTTAAAATATAGACAAATGATTCTTTCTTTTTTCCTTTTCAAGGTTCTTTATAATATTTGCGGTAAAAAATTGGAAACAATAGACAACTTGAGGAGACTATTTTGTCCAGCTGTTTCAGCATCCTTGGCATATCTATTGCTTATTATTCAATAACATTCTTTCATCATAGTTATTGTTCAGATTTAGTTGATCGACAGCTGGCAGTAGATTTTTAGTTTTTCATTCTAGGAACTTATTATCTTCATGATCATTATATTTTTTAAAAATAACCTCGTTTACGATTCATTGTATATAAATAAGTCTCTATAAAGATATAGCTATGTAACAAGTGAAAAACTATCGTCTGATTTGACGCGTGATTTTTTTCAACAACAATGTTCACGCCTACATAAGAACATAAATAAACAAGAGAAGTATTATAAAAAGTACATATCAAATGAATCGTACAATTTAATCATTTTGATGAAAGAAAAAGAAAAAGGTGGATCTTTGTCAATATTGCTTTTTTCGTTAAAGTAACAAAATGATCATGGTAAAAAGTATCTTTAAAATTTTTCTTCACAAATAATGATTTCAAAAAAAACCTGTTTCGATAGAGCAAGATATGACAGTTAGTCTTTTTTGTCTCGATTATTTTTATTCTCAATTATTCTTACTTACGTTCCCTTCTTTATTCGCCATCGTGAAAGGTTGATGTTGTTTCTATGTGTATGTGTGTGTGTGCATTCGCACGCATACAAGGATACCTCCTGTATTAGATGTACGAAGAGAGCACAAACAGAGACGACGAAAAAGAAGAAAGAAAAAGAAAGAAAGAAAAAAACAAAACCGGTTACCGAACGACATCAAGAATAACAGCTAAGGAGGAGAAAAGAGCTGCAATCAAAGAACATTGACTAAGAATCGTAAGGTCACTGGGTGCCGAACAAAAGTACTCTTAAATTTCCATTTTTTTTTAGAATTTTACCATCGAATTCAAATAGTTTAACACTTTTACAGACCATATGGTTTACTATTTTTTTTCTTCTTGCTTGTCCTACATTATATACAGCAGAAAAAAAAAATTATATATCTCAAAAGGGCATAGGTACTTTCGCAAAAGTGCACTTTATGTACTAAGGACAAATCATAAATTTCTAGATTCTGTGTTTAACCTTATCTAAAATATAATGTACTGTTTGGAAATAATTGAACGAGAGGTGAAGGATACATACCAATACTTACATACAAGTGGTCTAATTCTTGTCGAAATAAGAATAATACAGAACGAATAAAAGTTACTTATGCGTATATGCGAAGATAAACGGTAGTGCGCCTTGTTGTTTATCTGTTTAATATAGTAGATGACTACAGATGCTGTCGAAACGTAACTGGTAACAAAAACGACTAATAATAATAATAAAAATTGAATAAATCTTTATGTTCGACATGTGTGAATTTTCGACTAAAAATATAAGTGATATTTTACATTACAAAATAAATAACAATACAAATTGTCGTTTTAGGTTCTTTACTCAATTAATAGAATCTAAAAATACTAACTACTAGTCTTATAATATAGCTAACAGATAAAGATC